AGGTGGTGGAGAGAGAGAAACACACAAAACACAACCCACACATACTGGATTCCTAACAGTCAAAGGCTTAATAGTTCTTAAATATGTCTTATAAGCCTTCCAAAGTCAATTAGTGGTGTAATAATAACCTATCCCTTACCCTAACCATAACCCCTAAACTAACACTAGTATACATGTTGCCATATACTCCTAAAGCTACCCACAATACCCTTTTTTGCCAAAGGGTCGAATACAATCTCAATAAGCTGTCATGTACCTTGCTTATCAATATGATGAGAGGGTACCCCTGTCACTTTAATACCTGGAGCCAAGCACAATATTGGATGAGTTTAGAATCCAAACCCTGCATGTCAGTTCATTTTTTTTTTTATTTTTTTTTTTTCCAGCGTTTTATTGTCACAGTACAGAGCAAGTGCATCGAAATTAACTCTCTGCATTTAACTCATCCCCTTTGGGAGCATTGGGCTGCCATTGGGCTTAAGGGTTTTTGCTCAAGGAGCCAGAGTGGAAGTCCATGGGAGTGGGGCTTGAACTCTGACCTCAGGATTCCAGGCGCAATTATTAGCGTGAAGGGTCTTGCCTAAGGACCCCTAACTGGCAGCTCATTCCCAGCTGGGATACGAACCCAGGCTTGCTGTTTACAGGATGGATGACTTACCACTTGAGCTAACCAGCTCTAAATGACAAAAGTGGTACCCTGGGCTGCTCTGACTCTTCTTGTAAACAGCATTACTGTTGCATCTTCTGTTCAGTTTGTTGTCCAGGTAAACACCAAGGTATTTATACTCCTCTACCACCTCCACTTCCTCTCCGATGATATTAATAGCATTTGACTAGTTCCCGTTTCTTCTGAAATCTACAATCATCTCCCTTGTTTTGTTGACACTCAGGATCAGTTGTTTCCACACCATGCCACAAAGCGGTTCGCCAGCTCTCTGCACTCAGCTTATTGTCCAACTGTAGTCTGTTTGTCAGGTAGTCTTTGATCCAGGCGATTCTTCTTCTAGAGTTTCTGATAAAGTTGTATTGCATTGAATGTTCTGGAGAAATCAGAAAACATGATCCTCGCAGTGCTGTCCGCCTCGTCTAAAATGACAGTGGATTTGCTGAAGCATTCGTACGATGACATATTCAACCCCAACTCCACAGCAATAAGCAAACTGCAGGGGATGCTGATAGCTGCTTGTTTTTTACTTAGGTGAACCATTAGAAATCTCTCTAGGACCTTCATGATGTGGGATATCATGCCAACTGGTCTATAGTCACAGAGGAGTGTTGAGTTGATTCTTCTTTGGTAGTGGAACAAGGCAGGAGGTCTTCCACATCAATGGAACCATCTCCTGGGTCAGACTAAGGCTGAAGAGGTGCTGTGGAATCCCACAGAGCTGCTCTGCACAGGTCTTCAGGACCTGGTGCATATTGTGATTTAGCCTCTACAGTTGACTCTTTACTTGTCTTCTAGTGACAGACAGGTAAATGGTGGAGGGGGCAGCAGCATCTTCTGATTTGGTTGACAACCCCCACGAGACCAGATGTCATTTAGACGTTAGTTTTTAGGTTTAATCAGGTCTGTCTGATTTTGTCCCACTTTAGTCCAATAACAGACGTTGAAAAGACATTGCAAACCCAGTTTTCGATGTCTTTTCATCGACAATCTTAAAATTACGTCTTTTCACCTTCCACTGTTTGACCGAATGTAGACGTCATTTGGACGTAAATCGTGTCGTCTTTTCAGTTTCTTTTCAACCACTTTTTGCTCTGTGGGAACAAAAGGGCTGGTTATCCTCCCGCAGCAGTGTGTCGCAGTGGGAACATGAGGGCGAAAAAGAGCGGGGACCCAGGTGGAAAAAGGGTCCCAGGTTTCTTGCGCACCTCGCATTTCTAGCTGGTCCATCTTCAAGAGTCGTTTTCCATAATGACGATCATAAAAACCAAACAAATCGGTAAGGTACCAAAAAGG